GGGGGGGGGGGGGGGGGGGGGGGGGGGGGGGGGGGGGGGGGAGATTGATTTTATAATTTTTATTCTGTTCATCTAACCCACGGGCAAGTTGGCCCGCCTTGAAGTGGCCAGGTTAAACCAGCAGTACTTCCTTGTTTCTTTTTTTTTTTCCCCAAAAGCCCAGGTTGTTGTAGAGGTTGGAGTCATACCGACATCCACACAACTTGGGAATGGCACATTGTTTCCACTTTTCAAGATGTTTTTCGTTTTTGTTTCTGTGCCCCATGTTGTCCCATGCCTCATTGGGTGAGTGGGCTACTTGCCTAAGACGGAAGACTACTCCAGCAAGAGGGCACCGACCCAACCCCCTCAAAGCTCCGAAAAAAAACTTGGAGAGCCTTCCGCATTGGCCCACCAAACCGAAAACTCGTTTACCAAAAACAACTGACTATAACAGCATCGGCATTCCCGACATTCCTCTCAAAGACTCAAACTACACACCCGTGTCACTGCCAATGACGAGGAAGAAGATAAGAGACAACAACCTACCTACGACACAATACTCCTCCACCAAGATCGCACCGACCCCCCTGTGTCTGTGTGTGTGTGTGTGTGTCTTAATATTCGCCACACACAACTCCGCAAAGAAAACCGTGACTGTGCCAGTCTGTTTTGTCAGACTTTTACCAACTCATCAAGAGGTTGCGTGTCTGTGTGTGTGTGTGTGTGTTTAAAGTTTAAACCCCCAAGTACAAAGTCAAATTCCCTCTCTCATTCCATCCGCCGCGAATCATCATAAAGTTAAAATTGACCGAAACTTTTATACTTCATAAAAGTTGATATGATAAAAAAAAAGAAAGAAAGTATAGATAGGCAAGATAGTAAAAGATCATTTAAAAATGCAAGGTTAGCTGCGTTGGTGTGGTTCACCACCAAGAGTGCCCACACACCCGTCTGCCGCCGAAGCGGCACACTTGCGCATATAGTAATATACATATATCGTATATAGTATACATATACACATAGATTAAAAAAAAAAGAAAAGAAAAAAAAAAAAAAAAAAAAAAAGAAGAAGATTATAGTCCATCAACAGATCGAGGGCAAAAGGCAACTTACCTAAAGCAGAAAGCTTCCACCAGCAAGAAAGCACCAACCCAATCCCCCAAAGGTCGGAGGAAACTCGGAGAGCCCTCCGAATCGGCCCACAAAGACAAAAAATTAATTACACAAGCACAACAACATTGGTACTGCCATTCATCTAAAAACAACTCGCTCGCATCACCACCGTCACCATCGCTCCATGGCTAGACATCCTCCGTTTCAATTTGCTTTCTAGCCCTGGAGTCTATAGAGTGCCGCAATCCCACACTCCACAGGGTCTTCACATGACACCAGGAGCGCTACTGCTTAAAACAACAACCTTGAGGACCCCATTTCTTCCATTTGCTCCGAAAAAGCAGCCTGTGGGAATAACACACCACAGAAACACTCTCTGGGCCTCCTCGCAAAGACGCTGGCGCCAGACCATTCGTGCCCCAAGAAAAACGTGTGGCCACCGGCAGAGATTCCTTATCAAAATGACCGCCCAAGCTCTGAAGTAAGGCAAAAAATTAGGCCGTGTATAAAAAACCAAGTTGCAAAACATATCCAACCACAAGGAAATAATAGCTCGCTACCCTCCTTTTTTTTTCCCCTTTTTTTTCTTTTTTCTTGGCAAACTTCAAGTCGTGGACATCACTTACGGAGGTGATATGAGCAGCCGCCCTAAGTGGCTCCGCGGTTGAAGGCTCCATCTCCATCTATTGGTGGGGAGCTGCACCTGGTCTGGAAACCGGGTCCAACATCCCTCATATTACAAAACACTTCTGTGGCTGACAGTGATCAGACATCTGACTCATGTACTCGGAACTTCTTATCCTTAATGTTCCCTATCAACCTGGAAAAAAAAAAAAAAAAAAAAAAAAAAAAAAAACAAAAAACAAACCGGAAAACAAGGTAAGTACCTTGTCTTCGAATACAAGGTA